GCTGGCAGAGAGGTTCTTCGGCATGGTTCTCATTGGTAAATCATGTGTGGTGAAGATGTGCGTGTGTAGGTGAATCGCTGGCTTCCATCTTTACCTAAGAGGCATCCAATACCGCTTGGGGTGGTTGCGGTTACTCCCAACCTGAAGGTTAATTCTCTTATTCGGCCTGAGTCACATGAGTGGGATATTGGTTTTTTGCAGGCGTTTATTTCGGAAGAGGAGCAAGCTGCCATCAGACTTACCCCTCTTGGCGATTTTAGTCGGAAAGACCGATTAGTTTGGGATGCTAGTAAGAATGGACAACACTCGGTTCGGTCGGGATATCATTGGTTGCAATTGAGGTCTATTGATGTAAGGGATCAACGCTAATCAAGAGCTCGCTTAGTTCCGAGGCAACTGTGGTTAATAGTCTGGAAGTTGAATGGGCCTCATAAGCTCTGTCATTTCTTTTGGTTATCATTGCATAATGCCTTACCTACTAGGGCTGTGCTTTTCCGTCGAAGATCCTCCCCTTCCCCAATTTGTCCCATTTGTCTTTGTCAGGATGAAACTGTGGAGCATTTATTCCTACTATGTCCGTGGGTGGAAGCTATTTGGTTTGGAGGTGCTCTTAATTATCGGGTTGATAGAGATGGTATTCAATAGTGGGCGAGCTGGTTGCAGGCTGTTTTCACTCTTAACCTTGGGTCTACGGCCGATATGCAATGGGTTCAATCTTATGTTGCTTTTACTTGTTGGTGCATTTGGAAAGCTCGTTGTAATTTTGTTTTTAATTAGGTTCCCATTAATCCTACTTCGTTATTGTTTCGGTTATCTTTTATGGTTGGGTCTTACTGGGAAGCGGAGGGTTTCACGAGGACAGAGGGCTTGGTGGTTCCTGCTTGGCATGATTTGGTTCCTCGGTGGATCCCTCCAACATCTCATTTTATTAAAATTAATGTTGATGCTAGCTGGTCTAAGGTGTCTAAAATGGGCTTTGTTGGGGTGGTCATGCGTGCGGAGGGAGGGAGTTTTGTAGCGGCTGTGAGGTATGCTATTTTGTCCCTTAATGTTGTTGCAGCAAAAGCTTTTGCATTATTGCGTGGCTGTGAGTTGGGCACCTCTTTGGGGTGTAGTTCAGTCATTTTGGAATCGAATTCTCGTGAATCCATATCTTGTCTTTCTGGTGCTATGGATTCTGGCAGTTGGGAGGCTTTCCCTATCTTGGCAAGAGTCAAGCAATTGAGTGAAGCTTTCCAGTTCTGTCGCTGGTCATGGGTTCCAAGATCAGCCAATTCTGAGGCGGATTTTCTTGCGTCGGTTGGTTTTCCGGAGATGTGTGATCGAGTTTGGGTTGAAAGACCCCCATCTTCGTTGGTGCATGTTTTGAACAAGGATGGCCTTCCTTGTCCACATTGATTTGGTGTGGCGGTGATTGGGGGGACGCTCAATTTGGTTGTAGCGTCTTCTTGTTTGTATCCCCTTCCATCGCTTTCTTTCTCTTTATGCTTGTTTGGTGTTAGCCTCTCGTAGACTTTCCTGTATTTTTTTGCTTCTTCCTTGGAATGTCATTCCTCTTCCAAAAAAAGAAAAACAAGTGATCAATCTCATGGGTATGGTGTCGGTGAGCATAGACAACAGCAGCCTCATGGCAGTCTTGGAAGTGAAATGCGTCGTTCTGGCAGATCAAGCTCGAGCCAAGGCCAGTCCTGAGAAATTGGGGCCCTAGGCGAGCCTTCGAGTAGGGGCCCTAAAGTTCTTTGACGCCCGACTCATTGTACATTTATATGTATAAGAAAAGGTTTCGCTATATACATGAAAAAGTTCATTTCTACATCAAAAATCATTAGAATTCATATCCAAAGAAAAAGATATGCAAACATTACTTAAATATTACACGTCTCGCGTTTTTAGACACAAATGTACTAATTAAGTTTACATAATCTAACTTTTCAACCAATTCTTTTTCAATTGACAAATAAACAAATCATAAACCCTAGAATAAGAATCGAAAATCCTAATTATATTTACAAACACATCACTCACAAATTAAATTATAGAAAAAGAAGCAGAAGAGAAGAGAAGCATTGATCAGTGAGGACCATGAGGTTGCTTGACCTCTGTAAGTGGGAAAGAACCGATTCGCAGGCGCCGGTTTGTTGTGCGTTAAATTCCCAAAAAAAAAAGTTGAATAGTTGCTAAAGTTGCACCCCACCCAAAACACTTTGGAAGCCAAGTTTCAAAACAATTATATGATTTTATATTTGAATATTTTATTAAATTCAAACTCAAAAAATATATTTAAATATATATATACACACACACACATATTTAAAAAGAAATATTTTGGGGTCCCCCACCCAAAACACTGCATGGCAAGTTCCAAAAAAATATTTATAATTTCATATTTAGATATTTTATTCAAACTACAAAATTATATATATAATTGTTATTGGTACTCTAAAATTCTCATTTTACATTCCAAACTTTCTATATTTGGAAAGAAAAATACACTTGTGAAGAGTGTAGGATGAAATTTTTGGAATGTTAGTAACACTTCTCTCTCTCTCTCTCTCTCTCTCTCTCTCTATATATATATATATATATATAATTTGGGCCCCCCGAAGTGGGGGCTCTAGGCAGGCGCCTACTTGGGCTACTCTCAGGGCCGGCCCTGGCTCGAGCGTAAGACATATCTTAATTTTTCTCTCTATTCACAAGTTCTCTACACTTCAGTTTGTTGTTTTCCACACCCTTGTTTCTTTTGAGTGTTACCACACCCTTGTTTCTTTTGAGTGTTATGAGAAAACTAAAAACGAAATGATTATTAACGGTTTTTTTTTTTTTTTTTCGAATAAATGATATTACTCACCTTAAGAGAATGAGGAGTGGGTTAAGCCTCATAATATACTAGCAATAATGTAGTTTAAATTCGTATTTGATGAGAATTGAATTTAAGATTTTTCACTTACAAGTGAAGTTGTACTAAGTGGCTAAGTGATAAGGGTTTTTTTTTTTTTTTTTTTTTTTTGATCTTTGATTCATTTGGTTGATGTCTTGTAATTGTCTCTGTTGGCTGTAGTCTGAGGAGGGTGATGGGCAAGGTGGGAGAAGGAAGAAAAAGGGGCTGAAAGAGAGAATAAAGGACAAACTCGGTGGGAGAAGCACAAGGACGATCAGCAGCAAGCACAGACACATGGCCATGCAACCACAGCTGTCGGAACCACCACCGTCACAACCGAACCTGAGAAGAGAAGTATGATGGAGAAGATCAAGGACAAGTTGCCCGGTCATCATTGCCACCACTAATTAAATTAGTTCTTCAAAGCGTTAATTAGTTTATGCATGGACGGTAATGTTCTGGAATATTAATTTACTGTGTGTATAATAAAGAACTGTTGCAACTGTTCTAGCTGCAGAGTGCTTATTTCCAATTTTATTAGTTTATCTGAGTGTTAAAAGCAACACGTTGCAAATTAGTAGTGAAGAAGAAAATGTTTCATTGGATGTGTGTGGACGTACAAGATGAGTTGGTATTAAGAACCAATATATTCAAGGTAAGGGAGGGGCAGTCTGATGATTTAAAGATGTTTCAGTTAGAATTTGCAATTATGAAGATGCAATTATGAGACATACAAGAAGGAATGAGATTAAGAATGAAGATATTCAAGGTAAGGGAGGGGCAGCCGCAATTAAAGATGCAATTATGAAACCATACAAGAAGGGATGAGATTAAGAACGAAGATATCCAAGGTAAAGGAGGGGCAGCCGCAATTAAAGATTATGAGAAAAAAACGGTGAATTGAAGATTTACAGATCTTGCAGCTAGAATATGCAATTCAAATCTTTTGGTTAGAATATGCAATTATGAAGATGCAATTACGAGATAAAGTCTCAAGACAAAGGGAGATGAAAGGTGTAAAGGACGACTTAAGATTATGAGAAAAAAACGGTGAATTGAAGATTTATAGATCTTTCAGCTAGAATATGCAATTCAGATATTTCGTTAGAATATACAATTATGAGACAAAGTCTCAAGACAAAAGGAGATTAAAGGTGTAGAGGACGACTTAGTAGATACTTTATAAAAAAGACAAAAGGAGATGAAATGTGTAGAGGACGACTTAGTACAGACTAAAAAAAAGATATGGTTTACTTGAAAATGGACAGGCACAAAATCAATCGAGCCAAATGACGTTATAAGATACATATACTTAATACAATAGACATACTTAGTACAATAGGGGTGGTTGTTGAGTCTGAAAATAATAATATGTCTGATCTAATATGTTCGAGAACAACGATTATTTATTTTGTTTTACAAGCGGCACGTAGATACTGTAACGAAAGGGTGATAGAGTTAAATTGATCGATTAATATACACATAATTCTATTGATTAGGATGATCTATCTACACGTAATAAAGGGTAGAGGTCTAGGTCATCCACACGTAATACATAATTCTATTTATTAGGATCATCTGCCCGTGATAAGTGGTCTAGTCATCCTTCAAGTAATAAAGGGCAGAGATCTAGGGGACCTTGAGTGCATGGCACCGAATTACAGGACATGGATTCTCTCCGGATCCATTGTTCCTAATTCACTAAGCCACATCATCTGAACTATTGAAATTTGATTTAACGATTAAAATTATTATATCTTTTAAAATGGATCCCTATTTGTAACCGTTGGATTAAATTTCAATGACCGGGATGATGTGATTTGGTGGATTAGGACCAATGGATCCGGAGAGGATCCATGTCCTGAATTACAAGCCACTTGCATTGAACATTTATTTCATTGCCATGGTCAAACGGCTTAGTAGAAAAATCTGGAATTTTAATACAATCATCTTGAAATATTCATGAACATTCTTCAATTAGAATCACTTTAAAATTCATCCATTTGAATACTTTTTACTTAAGAGAAAATTGAATGTCTTATTTTAAGATCAAAATTTTACCAAAAATAACCAATAAATTATAACTTAAATTAGAATAAAATATAAAATATAATATCGACTTAATCAAAATCCAACTCTCCGAGTGCTTGATAAATTCCACATACAGGCGCAGGACCCATTTAGTTCAATCCTTCTCTATCGTCTTCCTTTACTGGCTTTATTACTGTTCATGATTTCACCTCCCATCAAACCCTACAATAATAATACTAATTATAACTAATATTTCTACTAGTTTCTCAAGTTTTTTGAGTTTTTGTTTTGGGTCCTGCAATAATCTCTCTCTCAGTTAATTTCTGTGAAAATCTGCAAAGTTTTTCTGTGGTTTTTATCAATGGCTTCGTCCAGTGGGACATCTTCAGGCTTCTCCTCCATGATTCGTCAAAACGCAGGCTCTGAGTCTTCAGGCTCTGAGTCCATGATTCATCAAAACTCTGGCTCTGAGGAAGACTTGATGGCTCTGATGGACCAGAGGAAGAGGAAGAAAATGATTTGGAACCGGGAATCGGCGAGGCGTTCTAGGATGAGGAAGCAGAAGCATTTGGATGATCTGACGGGCCAGATCAGCCAGCTGGAGAAGGAGAACCGTCAGATCATCTCCAGCCTCTACATCAAAAGCCAGCATTACATGAACATTGAGGCAGAGAAATCTGTTCTCAGAGCCCAAGCTGATGAGCTCAGAAGCAGATTGCAGTCCCTCAATGAGATTGCCAGTTTCTTGAATGCAGACAATGGTGGGCTCCATGCAGCTGCTGCAGATATAAGCTGCTTCAATGGTTTCTTCGACCCCTTGAGTGTGTCAAATCTTAATCAGCCTACTATGGCCTCTGGTGATATAAGCTGCTTCAATGAGCCTAATAACAGTTTCTTCGACCCCTTGAATCTGTCAAATCTTAATCAGCCTACTATGAGCTGCTTCAATAAGCCTAATAACAGTTTCTTCGACCCCTCGAATCTGTCAAATCTTAATCAGCCTACTATGGTCTCTGCAGATATAAGCTGCTTCAATGAGCATAATAACTGTTTCTTCGACCCCTCGAATCTGTCAAATCTTAGTCAGCCTACTATGGTCTCTTCAGATATAAGCTGCTTCAATGAGCCTAATAACAGTTTATTCGACCCCTCGAATCTGTCAAATCTTAATCAGCCTACTATGGCCTCTGCAGATATAAGCTACTTCAATGAGCCTAAATAACAGTTTCTTCGACCAATCTTAATCAGCCTACTATGGTCTCTGCAGATATGTTTAACTACTGGTGGTGATCGTGATCGTGATCGTGTTCGGTTTATTTATTTATATCCGTGTCGTGTTCGTGTGGACTTACTGATACGATGCGTATGAGCTTATTTGCATTTTGGATCGATTGATAGAAACTAGAGAGAGAGGTGTGTACTTTATTTTACTAAGGAATAATTTTATGTGTTAAATGTAAAACAAAAGAGCTATGGTGTTTGCTTTGGTCTCTTATTACCATCCATTCTTCTCACACTCTTCTTTTTATCTTATTTTTTATATAAAAAATTCAAAACAAAATGTAAACGTAGCGTAATCGCAATCATTTAAATAGAAGGAGATAGAAGGGGAGAAAGATTAGAAGGGAAGAGAATCCTACATCATGGAATTTTCTTATTAGCTATTAATGTAGTTGTTTTCCTATTTCTTTTTATTATAATATTGACTAAGTTCTCTTTAATTTGTCTTTCTCTGGCATGTATGTCCTCGTTTGGCAGTTCGGACTGTACTAATTATTTTTGTCAAATAAGATAAATAATCCTTGGATAGTACTGACTAAATTAGTTGGGCGTTTGGTGCAGTATCGGACTAATGACCGTATTATTTATACCGTGTTTGGTACTGAACCAGATAAGAAAAGGGAAAAAAAAATTGACAATTTTTGTTTGTTTGTTGAACTTTTCTCATATTTATACCTATTGAAAACCACACAAATTTTCAATAACGAACAAAAATAGTAAATTTCACACATCAAATTCAAAATATTTTCCAATAACATAAAAGAAGGTTCACAAAACACAACTACAATCGTTACGTTATATAGATTAATATCACATATCTAAGTTCACAAAATATACAAATGCAAGTTAGTTTCAGTAAGAAACAGCTTGTCCAGATAGCTAAAATATATGCATGCAGCTGCTTTGCTTTCAGTAAGAAGCAATTTGTCCAAGCTTCAGAAGCTTTGAAGTATCAACACCCTTGAGCGTTCCGTTCTTGTCCTTCAACTGGTAAATGCCACTTATAATATCAGTTTCAAGTGTCAACCAAGATTTTTTATTTTTTGAAAAAGATGACATGTCAACCAAGAATTTAACTAAACATTACTCTAAATTTTTGTGTTACCCTTGATATAATCTCAATCAGTTCAGTGTAAGTTACATCATTTGATAGAAGGCAAGTCATTAGCTGCCAACACGACCTGCATAATAAGAGGCAATCATGTGAAAATGCTCAGCAAGGCTAACTCATTCACAAAGCATTCATAATAAATTTCAAATCCAGGGAAAGGGAGGATACTAGAAAAACTTCTTGGGTTTCTACAATAGAACCAGATGCATTGAACATAAGAACAAGATTTGACAGCAAACCTGTGTCCCACGCCAGAGTAATTCTCTTGCAAATGGTAAAATACCCAAAATAATATCAGCACAATTGTCGACAAATATAACATCCTGTGAAGTTAAAGAGATAAATGGTTGATACATAAGAAGCATCTTAGACTTACAAAAATTCTATATATTCTATATATACTAAAATCCAAACTTCTGGTCACTGTTCTAGGGCAGTGTGTGGACCAAAAAGTCCCTCAAGTTAGTCTTCAGTCATTACTTTTTGTCTTTTTGTACAGTAAAATTCCGAATTTGCTCTTTATATTCACCCTTTCCTCCATCTATGGAATCTTTCTTTCAATCTTTTCTTAATTCTTTAAACCCATGTATAGGTATAGCGGGTGGGCAGACAAAAAAATATTATAAAAATATGATTAAAACCGGGTCACGTGGTTTTGTGGCACAACAAATAATAAAAATTTATACCTTTTAATTTTTTAAATCTGGGAAGACAAATTTTTTTTTTTTAAATGTGATTAAAACTAGGCCACATGATTTGTGGCACAACAAACAATAAAAATTTATACCTTCTTAATATTTTAAATGGAAAACTAATGAAAAGGGCTTGAAAACTTGTTTTAATGATAAGGACAAAATAAAGGGTAAAGTGAATAGTACATGATTGACTTTTTAGTGTAAAAATGTGATTTTTCATTAAAGTGAACAGTACCGGGTGCTTTTCGTTAAATTTCCTTATTTTAAACCCATGTATAGCTGGTGGGAAGATAAAAAAAATATTAAAAAATGTGATCCACAGTGAATTTAACGGAAGGAGGCTGGAAAAGTTGGGGAACCGGGCCTCTCTTACCACGTGTTGGTCATCGTGAGGTTTGCTTTTCACTCTATACCCATTTCTGCTTTTCTTTTGTTCCGTTTCCAACTTCTTCTTGGCTTTTTCTTTCCGTTCGCTTCTCTCTCTCCAGTCTCTCACCTTCTGCTTATTTTCGAAGCTAGCTTTTTATCTCTTCCGCGCCACTGTTGTTCCAGTGAGTTTTGCGTTTTTTCCAGTGTATCTGATTTAGTTTTTTTCGTTGGTTTTCGATTTGCAGATGGATTTTGTCTTTAAAGTTTCTTTTTTTTTTTCATTTTGGGGGTTTGATATGTGCGCTTATTTGGTTCCAGGAAACGCTCATGTCCCAATTTTGGGGCTTTCATGTGCAACTTTGCAAGCCCTTTGTGTTCAAGGTGTGTATATAAAATCTACTTTTTCTTTTGGGCTTTTTGTGGAACAAAATTTAAATTTTTTTGGGGTGGTCTTCTGTTTGCAGATGTGTCTTGCATTTAAATTTTGTTTTCCTAACTTTGGGGGTTTTATTTCTGTGTTCGGATTCTCGGTTTGGCTCTATGATTTGATTTTCTTTTCATTTCAGGAAACGGTGGTCTTTGTTTTTTGGAAATTTTGTATATGCGTTTGCAAACCATTTGTGCTGTAGGTATATAATTTCAAGTTTTCCTTTTGGTTTTCTAATGATGAGAGTTTTGATTTTTTGTGTGTTGTAAAAGTTAAATGTGTTGGAAACTGAAATTACGGATTTTGTTTTGTTTGGATTTTAAGCAGAGTCACTCACCAAGACTTTGCAGGGCACAAGGGTACGATTCAGACTCAGGATATGCAAGTATATATTGATTTGATTTCTGTTGTATTGTTTGAAGCTTTGTTAACAGTACTAGAGTTGTTAAATTTGTCCACCATATATATTCACCAAATTATGTCTCAATGTTGTTGCTGTTACTCGGTCATGGGGTTTCTTAAGATAGACTGTTATCAAGTTCGAATTATCTAATTTTCTTTCTGCATATTATTTTTTAATTATTTTTTGTTTTAGGAGTTGCAATTGTATAATTGGATAAGAAAACTAGAAAAATATGTTCGATTAGAACAGATAATTTTAATCATATCTTTAATTTATTTTTGGATTCTATCTTGGTATCATGTTGAGTGTTAGTCTTTTGTTCAAACTTTACGCTGCTGAGTTTGTTTAAACTTTAATTGTAATTGCAGGTTGATTTGGACCTGGGCAACTATGAACGCTTCCTAGATGTGACTCTTACTAGGGATAACAACATTACCACTGGCAAGATATATCAGGCGCTTCTAACTCGATTTTGACTTCCTTTGTGGTGTGTATCATTTCCTAATTTTGACTTCGAACTTGATCTTACTTATAGTTTTTAGTTTTTGAAAAAATGTAAATGTAATAACTGAGGTTTGTAATAGGGAGGGAGACACCATCAGTTGCTGGAATCATTAACCCCGGTTTTGAGGGATTTCAAAAGCTATTTTTCGGTCAAGAGGAAATCGCCATACCAGTGCACTCAAAGTAAGTCGCCATTCTCTCATCCTCTTACTAGATTTCGTCTTTCGTGGCTGCAAGCCACCTTTTGTATAGTTATGTATATGCATGTATGCTTGGTTAATCTTAATTTTCCATATCCAATATATTCAAATCATGTTATTAGTCAGATTACCATTCTTGATCTGGTGTTTCGAGATTGTCTGACCTTTGGGTTGATAACTGTTGCAGCATTGAAGCATCATGTGCCGCACATCCTACTGCTGATGTCTTAATCAACTTTGCTTCATACAGAACGTTGGTGATTATTCTATGAGTAGTGTTTTGGAGTGCGAAACTTCTATGGTTGTGCCTAACAATGAATGTATGTTGACATATCTGCAGTGCTGCCACTTCTTCCATGGCTGCTCTCAAGCAACCAACCATTAGAGTTGTGGCAATCATTGCTGAAGGTGTACCTGAGTTAGACACTAAGCAATTGATCGTATATGCTCGGGCAAACAACAAGGTTACACGATTGATGCAAAGTCATCTTAATTTCACTAACCTGGGAAAATGAACTGGCGATACTAACTTTAATTATCATATCTCTTGCAGGTTGTCATTGGCCCAGCTACTGTTGGAGGAATTCAAGCTGGAGCTTTTAAGATTGGTGACACTGCTGGAACAATTGATAACATTATTCACTGCAAGCTATACAGGCCTGGATCTGTTGGTTTTGTCTCCAAATCTGTATGTAGCTAATCCAATATCTTGAACTTCAGATAATTTGGTTATTCATAAGACTTTCATGATGTGTATACCTTAAATGTTTAGTGAATTGGAATTGAGTTCATTCATTTCTGTCCTCTGCCCTTATGTTGGCAAGACTGTCCAGGTGATGGTACAAAATCACAATGTTCATATGTCCTACCTTTTGCTTTTTTGCTTCACTTGCTTGAACGCTGATGACTGCCTTTCTTCCGTGATGTGAGTCGATATAGGTGGTTCCAACACATAACTGATGTCATTAAGACATGGGTCGAATCTCTTTCAGTCATTTCCATCGATGGAAAAGAGGGCCCTGCAAATTTTTATGCAGATCATTGGGAGCTTAATTTATTAGTATTTATGTAGAAATAGAAATAATTATAAATAAAACCTTCTTATCAGGCATGACCTTTCTTTTGATGTTTGTTTGATTT